AACTGATATGTGTCTTCTTAGGTTGGATGAGAGAATGGTTGTGGAGAGACCAAAGTGGAGGACGCACATTTGTGTGGACGTTGATCTCTATCTTTCCTCTCTATTTTTCTTTTACCGTTTATCTTCTTTATCTTTTAATGTTCTTATGTTATTTTTATATCTTCTAGCTTTTTATGCTTTTTTATCTTTGTATCTTTTATCTTTCTTATATTCTTATGTTATTGTTATCTTATATTTATTTATGTTTATCTTATCCGTGTTATCTTACTTTCTTCTTCTTCTTGTGTGTGTTCTCTTGTTGGTATCGATATTATGGATCGATTCATGTTAGCCGATTCCAAAATCTTTTGAGATTCAGGCTTGGATGTTGTTGTAGTTGTTGATGTTGTTATTGGTGTTGTTTATTTCTTCTCGTTCGTCTGGAAATCACTGTCTAAAACGTCTTTATCCTTTTCCGGGTTTAATTTTCTTCACTTTTATCGTGTGATCACTTCTTTCACTTCACCAGGACCGTATAATAAATTTGGAGGCCCTGTTCCAAATGTAAAAAATTAAACAAAAATCAATCTAAGTACATATACTGAAATCAATTGAATATTTGTCAAATAATGTAATAAAAAATCTAAAATCAATTAGTACTTGATTTAAAGCAATAAACTCATCCCTTAATCAATTTGAGTAAAACATGAGTAAAAGTACTGATAAAAAACTTTATTTTATTGATTAGTATATATATACTCTCTCCGTTCTTTTTTAGTTGTAACGGTCAACATTTTACATTTGCCAACACACGTCTTTGATCGTAATTATATCTTAATTCTGTTAGTAAAAAAATATTAAAAACCAGATTTTGAAAATTTGTAATGAGATGAATTGAACGATATTTTTAAAAAAATTAATTTTCATAAAATAATAGCGTAAAATGTAGTCAAAGAAGAGCATGTGAATAGTGTAAAATTCTACATGTTGCGATTAAAACGGAACGGAGGATAATATATATTATTACTATGTAATACTAATAATATTTTAAAAAATTGGGGCCCCTGAAATTGAGAGGCCCTGTTCCGTAGAACATGTTGAACGTGGTAAAATCCGGTTCTGCACTTTACCAATTTTTGTTCTTTGTTTTCGTCAAGTCGTCAACTATGCCTCTATTACGCTATGACTCACTTCATCCATGCTTTGATTACTGTTAACAGTTTTGTATCTTTTCTGTGAACTTCCTTTTCCGTTCTCGATTAAGCTTCCACCACCGATGAAGAATAAATGTTTTAAATTCTAACAGAAAAAACACAGAAGCATGGAGTAGTAGGAGACCATTTTTTTTTTGGGGGGGGGGGGGGGGGGGGCATTAGTAAAGCGAAAAATGTCGATGGGTAGCCTCCTAGAATTTTTAATTGAAGATATTATGTTGGAATAAATCCGATAATACTTTAATCTTCATATTGAAATTATCTGGAGAATTAACTGAGCGGAAGCGTACCTGACTCCATTAGAGATGATCTTTAGAGATCCGGGAGACGGAAGCTGGGGTTTGCGTCTTCTAGTTGATACACACCCTCGGTATTATCTCTCTAGCGACGGGATGAAGAAAGACAGAATGACATGTTCAACTAGGGACCATAACCTCTCTATTTGTAGAGAATGCTTAACCCTAATTAGCGCATCATTAATTAGGTTAAGCCCATGAATCTCTACACATTTGGGCCCTATACCTTATTAGATAACATATTAGCCCACTTAAATTAATATCCATAGGACCACTAATTTTTGGGCTTAAACATAGATAGCATATAACATACAATTGCACCCAATAATAATATATTGTGAATATTACATGTAGTATAAGTCCAATAATCTAACAATCTCCCACATGGACGGCATACACAAGTATACACAATCCTTAGCATTGTATATTTACTTCAAGAGCTCCAAAATTTTGCTATCAAACTGTAGTCATCTTTAATCAAAACTTTAGGAGGTCCATTAATTATATCAACATAGGATCAAAGAAGTCTTTGCTATATTTGAATAACTAGATCCGTCAATGATCACATACATTAATATAATAAACGACATGAATCAAGTATAGGTATGTAGCGTGGAAATAACATGAAGTGTGGTCTGGAATAGAATGTCTATTTCCAACTTGTCCACCTTGAGATCAATAATATAGCTGTAAGAGTACATAAAACTTTAAACTTTATTTCTACAAAAAATAACTTTAAAAATTGAATTAACCAAATATAGAAACATTACAAACTCCCACTAAAACTCATAATCCTCAACTGATTTGACACTCATTTGAGCAACATGCTCATGAAACACTTTTAGTGGCAATCCTTTAGTGAGCGGATCCGCAATCATGGAGTTTGTGCTAATATGTTCTATAGATAACTTTCCTTCTTGTACTCGTTCCTTAACAGCCTTAAATTTGACCCCAATGTGTTTTGCCTTGGTGAAACTACTGTTGTTCTCAGCATAGAGGAATGATGATCTATTGTCACACAATAGATCATCATAATGCCTGATTGGATGCCTCATAAATGCTATGAACTCTTCTTCCATGGTGGAAGTAGCTGTAAGAGTCTGCTTGATACTCTTCCAGAAGATAACTCCTCCAGCTAGAATATAGATGTAATACTTGAGATTTAATTTAAATGGATTAATAGTACTACTCATACCAACAGAGATGCATCTCCTTTTAAGGGAGCTCATCAACCAAAAACTCCAAAGTTAAGCGTGCTTGCACGAGAGTAGTCTTGGGATGGGTGACCCCCTGGGAAGTTTCACAGGGCGCGCACGAGTGAGGACAAAGTGCACGGAAAAGGCTAGTGGCGGTTTGTGAGGACAGTACTAGAGGTCCGGAGTAACTACCTCGGGTCCTGCGGGGCCGGGGTGTTACAATAGATGTAGCCTGAAGTGGATTTCAAACTATCTTGACATCCAGCAAAATCAGAGTCCGTATACCCAATGACCTTTTTAGCTGCTTTCCAATGGTCCATTCCTGAATTGCTCAAATATCTGCCTAACATCCCAACAATGTATGCCAAATCAAGTCTTGTACAAACTTGCACATACATCAAACTTCCTACAGCCGAAGCATAAGGAATGTTCCTCATTTACTTAGATTTAAAACCATTCTTAGGGCACTGCATGAGACTAAACTTGTCTCCCTTAGAAACTAGGGTATCACCTTGTTTTCAATCTTGCATGCCAAACCTTTTGAGAACCTTATCGATATAGCTCTTTTGTGAGAGTCCAAGAACGCCTTTGGAGCGATCTCAATTTATTTGAAATCTTAATACAAAAGAAGCCTCACCAAGATCTTTCATTTCAAAATTCTTTGAAAGAAATCTCTTAGTTTCGTGCAGTAAGCCTATATCGTTGCTAGCAAGCAGTATGTCATCAACATACAAGACCAGGAAAATATGCGTACTCCCACCAAACTTGTGGTATATACAATCATCACTTACGTTTGGTTGAAAACCAAAAGATATAATGACTTTATGAAACTTGTTATACCACTAACGAGAAGCCTGCTTGAGCCCATAGATGGATTTCTATAATTTGCAAACCATTTTCTTTGAATCTCTCGAAACAAAGTTTTCTGGTTGCTCTATATAGATTGATTCCTCAATGTCACCATTGAGAAATGCAGTTTTTACATCCATCTGATGAAGCTCAAGATCAAAATATGCCACTAATGTCATTATTGTTCTAAAAGAGTCTTTCAAGGATACTGGAGAGAAAGTCTCTTTATAGTCAATTCCTTTCTTTTGAGTGTAGCGTTTAGCAACAAGACGAGCTTTAAACCTTATAACATTGCCCTTTGAGTCCCTCTTGATTTTAAATATCCATTTACAACCAATGCGTTTAATACCTTCAGGCAATGAGACTAACTCTCAAACGTCATTCTCACTCATAGACTTCATCTCATCTTTCATGGAATTAATCCATTCTTGAGAGTTAGAACTTTCCATGGCTTGACGGAAGTTGATTGGATCATCTTCCGCAAAACCAACATTTGATTCTTGTTCTTGGAGGAAGACAATTATTTCTTCTACCAATTCCCAATTTTCCTCATGTTCTTGGAGAAATACAATATAATCATCCGGAATTTCACTTCTCCTCTCTTGAGTGGATCTCGTTAATGGCACCTCAGGTTTTTGAGGTTGTTGAGTTTGATCCTCATTAATAATTGCAAGTACTTGATTGGGGATGTTTTCGAGATTGTTCTGAGCTGGAGTTGTTTCTTGAACATCATGCGGAATAAAAATATCGTGATCATGTTCAATGACAACTGAAGGAAGAGTAACATGGTGTTCCTCAAGGAAAAAATCTCTAACCTTATCTCCCCACCCCCAAACTCAATATCTCTAACCTTATCTCCCCACCCCCAAACTCGTTACCTGTCTCAAAAATAGTCCTGGTAATGGGATTGTAGAACTTATACACCCTTAACCTCTCAAAGTATCCTACAAAATAGCTACTAACGGTTCTAGAGTCCAGTTTGTTTTCATTTGGCCTATAAGGCCTTGCCTCAGTTGGACAACCCCAAACATGGAAATGATTTATACTGGGTTTCTTTCCCGTCCAAATTTCATAAGGGGCTTTAGTTGTAGCTTTAGAGGGAACTCTATTGAGTATGTAAGCTGCAGTTTTCAGTGCCTCTCCACAGAGTGAATCTAGTAAAGTAGTATGACAAATCATACTCCTAACCATGTCCTTCAATGTACGGTTTCGTCTCTCAGCAACAACATTCATGCTAGGAGTTCCTGGCATGGTGTACTGAGGAACAATTCTACACACCTCTAGGAATTTAGCAAATGGCCCTGGACGTTGTTCACCGGAACCATCATATCTACCATAATATGTCCTAAATGCTTGTGCCAAAGTGAAAATGAATTCTCATTGGTTAATTTTCTTTTAGTACCACGAGTACTTGTATGCAAGGTTTCATTATATGAAGTAATTATATCAAGTGAATATAGATTATCATAAATTGATAAAAGACCAGTACCGGCCAATAAGTTTTGAATCTTGAAATAGACTAAATTGACTATTTCCAAATGAACAAGAATAACCAAATTTGTCCAATGCAGAAATAGAAATTAAATTCCGCCTAAATGATGGCACAACAAATGTCTTTTTCAAATCCAAATAAAAACCAGCCTTTAATAATAATCTAAAAACACCGATAGCCTCAACTTGAACCCGCTTGCCATCACCGACATAGATGTATCTTTCACCATCAATTGGTTTTCGGCAGCTCAGGCAACCCTGCATAGATACACTTATGTGAGTAGTTGCACCGGAATCTACCCACCAAGTGTCTTTTGGTACCAAAATTAAATTAACCTCAGAACAAACAAGAGCAAGAGACACACCTTTTATCACACGCCAGGCGTGGTACTTAGTGCAGTTCTTTTTTTTGTGATTAGTCCCTTTGCAAAAGAAGCATCCAGATTCCTTAGTTTCTTCTTTAGTTTCTTTATGATGCTTTCTTTGAGGTCCTGAATTTACAGCTTCAGTAATTTTCCTTTTCTTGCTACCCTTAGAGGTAGATGCCAAATGAGCACATTCAGTTTTATCTTGCTTTATTCTCTCTTCCTCTTGAACACCGATAGTATAGAATTATGTTTGTTTATGTGTATAATTTTTACTAGTTTTATTTGTTGTTGCTTGGGAAATTACACACTTTAGGTGAAATACTTTATTTTTCGTATTTGTTTGTAATTTGTTTAGATTAGGGATTTTTCTGAGCTTATACTAGGTAAAGATCATCAAAAGGATCTTGGAAAGGTCAAGGAAAGTGCAAGGGAACAAGAAAAAGTGAAAATTTGGGGAAAAAATTAAATAACCCGGTCGGGTAAAACAAAAACCCGATCAGGTTTGACTTGATCCGAAGATCAAATATGATTCGGAGGCAATTAAACGTGCAAGGCGAAGATTTGTCTTTTACCCGATCAGGTAAATCAAAAACCCAATCGGGTAGATGTGACTAATGAAGATTCCGGGCAATTACTCAGGAAACCCGATCGGGTTTCTGAAAAACCCGGTCAGGTAAATGACCCAGTCACCTCCAAACACCTATAAATACACCCCTTTTCCTTCCCATTTGATCACCAATTCACATATACTCTAAGCTCAGTTTAGTTAAGTGTTTTCTTTATATTTTCTAGTATGTTTAGTCTCCAAATGAGGAGCTAAACTCTTCCATCTTGGATTTGCTACGTTGAAGCTTAATGAATTGTAAGTTGTGAGTTATTTTCTTTAATCTTCTTCCTTGAATATTAATTAATCTATCTCTATATAAATGTCATGGAGTGTTGCTAAGATGACAATTAGATAACATCTCGACATTAGTTATAGTAGCATTTATTTTATTTAATAGTCTTCCTTGAATATTAATTAATTCCTATTCAAATTTCATATTAATATTTTGAGCATTACTTAAAGGATCAACTAGTTTTGTTTCATATATTAATTATTACTAGAATTGATGAATACGCTTGTTAATCGTTCGGTCCTTTCACGGTAGTAAACTTGGATTATTAATGCATGTGTCTCATGGTTAATAATCTAAGGGGAATTAATTATATTGATTAAACCAAATAAACCGTTTGTTTTGAGGTTATCAATCTCAATCGTTTTCATCTTAAGTTTATTGCTATTATCGGGTTAATATACGGCGCATGTTCTATATTGATTCGGTAGTAAGTTTTATTAATGAACGCGTCTCGTTATTAATTGGATATACTCCTCGATTGAGTATTCGAGAGGAAAATAGTTAAAGATATAATCGGGATCGACGAACATTTCATTAAGTGGATATAAGCAAAGCCAAGTCTTCATCTCAATTAAGTAAAACACATAAGTCGTTCATCTTAGTGTTTAAATACATTTAAAGTTCATCAATCAATCAAAAACCCCCTTGTTATTAGTTACGTAAAAGAAAAGTATTCCTTTCCATGTGGATATGAACCTTACTACACTATACTACGTATAAGTGTTGTATTGTATTTATTTATTTTGAGTGCACACCACGATAAAGTGCACGTCAAACACAATGAGAAATGAGCTCATTGAGAGACTATTTCTCCTTAATGCAGTTGTAACTCACTTTAAATTGATTAAATTGAGAAGGAAGAGAGATCAAAACTAAATACACAAGCAATTCCTTAGGTAAAATAAGCTTTAGTGCACTTAGTTTTGAAGCAATGTGAGACATTTCCAAAATGTACTCTCTTATGTTCCCTTTGCCTTTATACTTCATGGAAACAAGAGTGCTCAAAAGAGTACTAGTTTTCGCCTTTTCGTTTTTCGCAAAACACTTTTCAAGTTCGGCAAGGAACGATTTGGCATTAGCCTCATCAGACATTGTGCTCCTGAATGATTCTGGAATTGCACGTTTCATGATTATTAGACTCATGCGATTTGAGCGTTCTCACCTCTCCATCTCCCTTTTTTCATCAAGGGTAGATGTATCCTTAAGAGCGGTGGGTTTTTCAGTCCGAATTGCAAGGTCTAGATCTATGCAACCGAGAACAATCATAACGTTCTTTTTCCATTCCTTAAAATTCGTGCTGTTAAGCATTGGCATGCTATTAATATTAGCAGATATTGTAGCAGCAGAATTGTTGACTGAAAGAGAACAAAAATAATATAAACGACATGCTCTAGAAACTGAAAATAACTTGATAATTAATTTTAAATATTAGCAATCCCCATCACAAGATACCTAGCGCAACATCTAATTTTGTCTTTGGACATAAGTTAGACTCGCAAGTGGTACTCTTGGTGTAATAATGAAATTTTGATAATAAAATCATGTCAAATACTAAGCCTTTCTTTGGACCGACTTAATATTCACATGAAAATCTCATAATTATCACAAATCTTATTATCACAAATGTACTTAAATTTCTGCCAAATAATAACATTTCTCTGGACCGATAATTATCCACATGAAATATGAAAGTACACAATCATCTTAATACATGAGTTAATTAATTTCAACATGAGAGGCTACTTTGACAGCATGTTGTGTCAATTAACTAACCCAAATATTAGACATGCTAATATTAACTCAAAAATCTGAAAAATAAAATTGAGCAAAATTTTCTGAATCACATGCAAATGTGTTATGTATAACGATAATTTGTAAAACACGTACCCAATCGCAAAATAGGGTTTATAAATCCCATAACACATAATACACATTTTTCAAGTCGTAAATCATGACCACCAATAAAAGTAATCTATTTAAGTAATATCCAAATATGCAATTCTAATAGAAGTGATATTGACCGTAATTACAGATAAGTATTTAATTACCAAAATCGATAATAATCACATATATGTACTTAATTACCAAAGCCATGTAGAACATTTCCAAAATTGAATCACCAAAAAAAGGAACATACCAAAATATAATTTGATACACATACCTCGGTTGATTTAAAAAATTGGAAACAATTCAAATCAAATAATAAAAGTGACATGAATCACTTTTTAATGACCGAAAATCTCTAACCATATTCCGAAAGGTACATGGCTAGCACCTTTAAAAAAGCTGAAATTGTGAATCAGTTTGTATCGCATTAGTCACACCCAAATAAAATACTGTAATAAATTAATAATTAATAGTACTCCATGAAGTGATACTACGTAACGCATAAGAACATACGTACTAAAAAAACCTATTGACGATTGATAAGAAGAAAAGAAGTAGTAATCGACAGGCACAAGTACTATGAGTTAATTAAAATGGTTGATTGTAGTTATTGTGTATCTTATCGCATTTGCGATTTGAATAAATGGAATCACCGAAAAAAAGCACAAAACGCTGCATCCCCTACATGACTGAATCGGCAGATTTTATGTCGAAAAGAACCATCTCACTCCGAAAATCCAATTGCCGATTCAGAGGAAAAACAAGAAACATTCGATCAAACATAACAATTCCTTTTGATCATCAAGTACCGATTCAATACATGAACACAATAGGAACGAATTGCATAAATGCAAAATCGCATTACCCTTATTCCATTTAATCGGCAGATCATATGACCAAACAAATTTCACAAATTCAATCGTTTAGGATTGAAACAAAAGTATGAATACTCCAAATAATTCAATATGAATGAGGCTCTGATACCAATTGTTGGAATAAATCCGATAATACTTTAATCTTCATATTAAAATTATCTGGAGAATTAATTGAGCGGAAGCGTACCTGACTCCATTGGAGATGATCTTTAGAGATCCGGGAGACGGAGGCTGGGGTTTGCGTCTTCTAGTTGATACACACCATCGGGATTATTTCTTTAGCGATAAGACGGAATGACGTGTTTAAGTAGAGGTCATAACTCCTCTATTTATAGAGAACGCTTAACCCTAATCAAGACATGATTAATTAGGTTAAGACCACGAGTCTCTACACATTTGAGCCATATACCTTATTAGATAACATATTAGCCCTCTTAAATTAATATCTATAGAACCACTAATTTTTGGGCTTAAACATAGATAACATATAACATACAATTGCACCCAATAATAATATTTTGTGAATATTACGTGTAGTATAAGTCCTAGGTATTAATGCTGTGTACAAGTTGGATGGATCCTATTTTTAGAAGTGAGGCGTGAGGTGGTGTTATTTGGGAAAATGAAGGGAGTAGTTGAGTTAAGAATTTTGCGAGAGGATTGTTTCAACGTTTGCGGGCTTTGAAAGTCAGGGGTAGGTGAGTTGAAAAAGGGCAAAGCGGGAATGCAAAAGTGGGCGAGCTATATATAAAAGGGCCCTCCGTTTTCATCACCACCATCCGTGATCCGTGATCCGCGCAAATAAGAATAACTTTGTGGTGTGGTGTCAGCGATCGATGATGCCGATGGTTGCCGGGAAAGTGGTATGCGTTACCGGCAGCGGGGGGTTCATCGCCTCCTGGCTCGTAAAACTCCTACTCCAAAAGGGGTACAGTGTGAGAGGAACGGTTAGAAATCCAGAGGATGAGAAGAATTCCCATCTGAAGGAGTTGGAGGGTGCAAAGGAGAGACTGAGTCTGATGAGAGCAGACCTTCTTGATTATCAGAGCTTACGTGCAGCCATCCACGGCTGTGATGGCGTTTTCCACACTGCTTCACCCGTCACTGATGATCCCGTACGTCAGTCACAAACATCTATCATCATCCACTACCTATTTTCTTTTATTACTCCTACCTACCTTTTATTCCCCCACCCACTATTGCTATTGCTTTGCAAAAATTCAACATACTCCCCATCTCCTCACAAAGTAGCTTTTTCTTTTTGTTCAAAAACCCGAATACATCAAACACTTGTACTATTCAATATACGTATATTTTTTACTGCCAATTGAACTTTTATAAAACTTGAAATTTTATTAATTAATGAAAATCAAATTTGACTAACATATGAAAATATTTTTTTGTTATAAATACTTTCCTAAAAGTGTACAACTTAAAACTTTCCCACAAAAACAGAGGGATTATGTCGTTACTCCTTTCAAAAATAGATGGAATAATAATAATAATAATAATAATAATAATAATAATAATAATAATAAGGGGATTTGTCTTTGTCAATTGCTGTATTATTTTTGGCTTATATTTAATTTAACTTCAAAATTATTGCCCCATTTCATAAATATAAAATTATTTGACATTGCGTTACCTTTACAACTTTAGTTTTATGTTAATGAATGCCCAATTAATGATTTTTAAAATTAGTACTTCCTTCGGTTCTTATTAAAGTTCTCACTTTCCTTTTTGGGATGTCCCTTATTTAAGTTCACACTTCCATTTTAGGAAACAAAACAGTGCAAAATAGTGTCAAACAATGTCAAACAGTGTCCAAACAGTGCCAAACAGTGCACTCCACAGTAAAGTCAAATTCATTTTCTTAATATGTGTGAAGTCAAACTAAGAACTTAAATAAGAACCGGAGGAAGTATAAGAAAGAATAGGGGTACGTACGTGTAAAGACAAATCCTTTCCTAATAATAATAACAAACGAACCTTAATTAATTAGCTTGTTACTCCGTATTGTTAAGTATTGGAGGGCTTAATTAAATACAACCCAAACGTATGAAACTTTTACTTGATTTGGGCGTGTTTCTCGCACTCTGATTGCCATGTTTATTTGTAGGTAGATAAGATTACTTCTTTTTTATTTTTGAACACGTACGGTAGACTCCAAAAACCCTACACCTTACTCTTATACTTCTCACTTTTAAATTACAAAAAAACCTTTTGTACACACTCTTATACACACTTTGGTACACACCTATGTTTTTTTGTATGTGAACATCGACTCACAGACAATGTTTTACACAGACAAAATATTGTCTGTGAATCGGATTTACGGATTTCACAAACATGGTGTGTACAAGGTGTTCATCAAGCAGTTTTGTTTAAATTAAAGTTACATTATAAATGATGTGACATCCTTAGATCTTCGAATAATGTGATCTTTAGCGAGCCCACTATTCCCGTTAATAATTTGTTAATTCTAATTTCACAAATAATATTTTGATCACAAATACTCATGGCACTCAACCATTCTCTCAGTAATAATCAGCTATGTGACCAATTTCACTCCTTGATAATATAATACTCCGTATTAGTATCTAATTCGTGTAAGAGTAAATGAAACCGATTTAACTTATAGATTGAACTTTTCCTCACTCATCCGTAATGAAGAGTAGTAATTTATTTAATTTGGAAATGCTATGATATGTATAAGAAAAATGAGAGCATTATTATACCTATATATCATGCATTTTATTAGGCCAAATATCATATATTCATGTTTAAATTATTGGATCTGAAAATTAGGTGGTACGGTCCATGTGGGATACCATATATAAATATTCTCTTATTTAGAAGTTAAAATCCATAATATATTGAAATGAAATGTGCATGAATGAAGGAGGAAATGGTGGAGCCAGCGGTGATAGGGACGAGGAACGTGATAACAGCAGCGGCGGAAGGTGGAGTGGGGCGGGTGGTGTTCACATCCTCAATCGGTGCGGTGTACATGGACCCGAATAGAGATCCGGACACGATTGTGGATGAGAGCTGTTGGAGTGATCTGGAGTTTTGCAAGAACACCAAGAATTGGTACTGCTACGGGAAGACGGTAGCGGAGAAGACGGCGTGGGAGGAGGCGCGGAGAAAAGGAGTGGACATAGTGGTGATCAACCCGGTGCTGGTGTTAGGGCCCTTGCTGCAGCCCACTGTGAATGCCAGTGTGCAACACATCCTCAAGTACTTGACAGGCTCCGCTAAAACTTACGCCAACTCCGTCCAAGCTTACGTGCACGTCCAGGATGTTGCCCTCGCCCACATTCTCCTCTACGAAACCCCCGCCGCCTCTGGCGGCCGCTACCTTTGTGCCGAAAGCGTTCTCCACCGTGCCCAACTTGTCGACATTCTAGCCAAGTTCTTCCCGGAATATCCTCTTCCCACCAGGTACACATTTCGCAAATCATACGTACTACCTTAGATATGTGCTACTTGAACTAACAATGCTACCTACCCCTCTTACCTAAAGATAACTCCAATCTACACCATTTCACATGAGATATATAACCAAATTATTCACATTTCTCTTTCTTTTTCTCATTGTGATAAACAAACATATAAGACCTTTAAAAACAGAGGAGAGATATATTAATGTTCATTCATACTTATGTATTTATGTCTCTCATGCTACATGTGCACTATGCACATTGTGACATTGGAGATGATCCAACTCCATCACTAAAATTATTTTAGTAATTTTAGTGATCATTATTGTGTTCAAATAATTTTTGAAAGAAAACTTGTTCGATATATATATATAAAACGCAGTTTTCTTTCAAAAATAATTCGACGACCTTCCCGATTGAATTTTTGCTCAAATTTGGTATGGATCGATTAGATTTGATGAGGAACATACACAAAAAATTCAGCCAAAAATACCACCGATTCCTTGGATTTTTCACGGGTTCTCATTTTAAGAGAGTTTTCGCTAGAACCTCCCCTAAAAACAATTGAAGCAATTGAAGCAAAGTCCTTGTTTCCACGACTTCATTTACAGCCTTTAACGAGAAAAGCATCTCCTTTCCTTTGTTTGTGTGAAATTTAGGTGTTCTGATGAAACAAAAGCGAGAGCAAAACCGTACAAATTCTCTAACCAGAAGCTGAAGGAGTTGGGGTTAGAGTTCACGCCAGTAAAACAAACCCTATATGAGACTGTGAAGAGCCTCCAAGAGAAAGGTCATCTTCCCATACCAGCCACCGCAAAATGATCCCAATTGCTTGGTTCAAGATCAAAATCAGCTCTTCAATAAGGATGATTTCGATGCTAGCTATAATTCATGTACGACTATATTGTATTGTCTTCAAATGTTCTAGTGTCCCACTCAAAAAGGATAAATGACTACAATTTCTTGTCTTTTCAATACATCTCAAAATTAAGATATTTATAAGAATTTACAATAACTCAAAAAAACATTGTGACGCAATTCTGAATCGCTCTTGGGCACATATATTTACAATGCTATCGGCTATTTTTGTAAATATCTTATAAGTTTAACTACTGTTTAAGTCTGTTGATACATTTTTGGCTAACTATCCTCGATCATCCCTCCATTTCTATTTTTTTAGGGGTGGGCAAAAATACCGAATCGGCATGTTACCGAATCAAACCGGTATCGTACCCGACTAAAAACGGACTTTGAAATGGATCTAAAACTTTTTTGTCCCGAACCAGATCGTACCGGTTCCAAACAATGCCATGATCGATTCTCACAAAATAAGAACCGAAGTATTGTATAATTGTTTAAATTTGTATTACTATAGTTTATCTAAAATTTATTAAATAAACACTCCGTTCGTTCCAAATTGATTTGTATAGTTAACATTTTTTGGTCAACCACTATTAAAGTTAAGTCATCCTTGTTGATAATTAATACAATTTTAATAATTCAAATTTACATATTTACAAACAATTTTAAAATCTCATCAAAGTTGCAAAATCCAAATTAGAATATCAGTTTTTTTAAAGGCCAAATTAGAATATAATAAAAAAGTGATATCCTAATTAAGAGAATAAAATGAAACTATTTGACCAAAAAAAGGTCCACTTTGCAAATCAATTTGCGACGAAGATAATATGTAATATGAAAATTGATAATTTATGTGAATATTTGGAAGATGGTTAAACTTTAATTTTATCTTAAACACTTGAAAAAAGAGGCATTGGTTGGTATTGGTATGTCATGGTACCGTCCCGTTTGAAAATGGAACCATACTTAACGGGTTTAGGTCAAAGACCGAACCAAACCATTTCAATAGCCACACTACGGGTTCGGGTTCGACAAAATATTAGAATGAACTGGACCGTGCCCACCCCTACTTTATTTTCTAGTCCAATTCTCCTTCTTCTTTTTTATTTTTTTCTATTTTATTATCAATTTATATTTTTCTTATACATTCTCTTATATCCCCAACTAGCTTGAGTTTTTTTCCAAAATAATCATGAAAGAAAAACTATTTACGTAAATATTGTTGGGTTATTAGTATTTATGAAAATATTGTTGGGTTAAAAGTATTTACGAAAATACTACTGTGTTGATCATGGTTAGGCAAAGTTGCCAAACATATTGGTGACTTATAAGTCGTAAATCCGTTTGGCGACTTTGCCTTTAAAACAGACGGGTCGGATAGCAATTTGCAGACAAAACGAGTTGCAAACCCCAAAATACAATCCGGCAAAAATCGAATCTCCTGCTCCATCTCCGGCGACGATAGCGAGGATCAAGGCTGCTCCACCTACTCCATCCCCAAATTCATCTTCTTCAACACTCCTTCCTCCACGTAAATAAAATCTCCATTTCATCTCATATTCCAACTAAGGATTTAGGATTAATAATAAATTTTGAAATTGTAAATTAGGAATTGATTTGTTCTTTAATGTGGATATGTATGAAATGTTGAATTTTAATGTGGATATTAATGTAATATTTTGATTTTGTCAAATGTAATGATATCATATAAATTTTTCATTAATGTGAGAGGTTTTTTATACGTAGTATGTTGTTATATCTATTAAATGTTGAATTTGGGTGTATATAGTGTGTATATTAATGTTTACTCATCAATTATCGTCATGTATTGCTATTAGAATATGAACGTCTCCAACTTCTCAATAGTGTGTTATTGCGGAGGAAAATTATTTGAGGAAGCAGGTGCAACACGCTATGAAGGTGGTAGGAGACGGATTGTTGTTGTTTCTCATGGCGCATATACACGAGAATTGCTGCAAAATATATATGTAGCTACACATATTCCTACAATAAATTCTTTGGAAGTGCAATTTAAATATCCCATTCACGGGGATCATACATGCTGATGTCACTTGATGATGAGGAAGTTATCACGGGAATGTGGATGATAGTCCAGAACTTGATTATGTCCACAATGGAGATATACATTGAAGAATCCACTCTAGATGCTTCTATAACTCCCTCAACATCAATTCTTGTTATATCTGGGCATGATGTTCATGCAGCGGCCTCCACAAATGAGCCTGTTTTGAATATGGTTGTAGAGGAGGATGCGAGGTATTTGCACAATGGTGCATCACTTTTAGATGGCCATGGCACTGATGATGATATTGATGAACACATGAATGATGTCGAAATGACAGAATCAGATGAAGAAGAGGGTGATACTGTGAGTGCAACTGGCCCTTCTAGTCACTATACTAGATTATATGATCTCCCATTTGGTTTTGATGATGCGTGGAGGAGTGGTACAAGTGTGAACAGGTTCACACTAGATGATGAATTTGAGGTTGGTCAACATTTTGATGACAAGCAACAACACATCAATATGGTGAGCTTGTATTCTATCAAACACAACCAATTTTTTTGTGTGCTGGAGTGAGATAAACATAAATGGGGTGCAGAGTGCAAGAGAAAAAAGGAACGTGATTGTACTTGGAGAATACGGGCCACAAAGAAACATGCAAGCCTTGACATGTTCACAGTTGTGCGTTAGGCTGGACCTCATAGTGTCAATTGTGTTGGCATCAATGACAGTGATTGTAACACCGCCCCCAAGTAATTGTACCTTATCAAATTATGTATTGAACCCCGAGAAATGAATAAAAAGCATTTTTACGTAATTGTAAATTTTTATCATTTCTTTTACGTGAATAGTAAAATTTACGTGGGGCCCACACCGGAAGCGGGGCCGCCCGATATTATCGGGACCACATATTCTATTAATTCTGGACTAGATAATATGTATATGGTGGTGGATATCCTAATTGGTCCATGGCAATGGCATAGGGTTGACCGGTTGGTCAAACGAGGCCAAATTATCAGTATCGACAATTTATCAGATAACAGCCCAAAAAGGGATTTCAGAGACTTCTAAATTAAAGTTGGGGAACGCATACTGATTCTAAGGTCCAATAAGGATTGGGAACAAGTGTTATATTTTATTTGACCCGATAAAATAAAATATAATTAAAACAGTCCGAAAAATACAACTTTCGAGACCGATTGTACACTTCAGGACACAAAGGGTTGACCTCCCACATAAGTGGGGGCCAACCCACATTTTTAGATCTTCAAGGAGGGCAAGGGAGCCGCACAACCTTGTGGGAATTGTGCAAGAAATGACTGAAGGCCAAACCAATAAATGGAATGGACCCTCCCCCATGTAATCTTTGTGAGAAATGCCAAAAAGGCATTCTCAATCAACCATACACCCCCCAGCTCGGCCCATCCCTCAAGTAAGATGAGAGAAGCTCTGTAATACTCCATCTTTTCCATCCCTATCCGCACAAAGCAAAGATAGGAAGAAGGAAGGGAAGAAAGAAGAGAAAGGAGGAGGTTCGGGAGGAAAACTTGAGATTTACAAGTTAATGACCCCGTTAATCCTATTTCGTTTTATTTAATCTTTTAATATGATTATACAATCATATTTCACACCCTAGGATTGTTCTACACGTTTGGAAATGTAGAATGAGGGGTTGGAAGGTTGTTCTAGGACCAAGAACGGACTTAGAAGCCAAAGTGACTAGTTCGCCGGAAAATAACCTTTTGGAGGTTATTTGTATTACTATGGGTTTTATGATGATAAAACCTTGTTAGTAACTTATCTAAGGTATTCAAGGAACTTTCACGGAGTTGAAAGGGTCTTCGGAGTTCGTTGAAGTTCGCCGAAGTTTCGCCAGAGCTAAATCGGGAGGGCTAGAACTTCATAAGCTCCATTAAGGTGAGAAGACGGCTTTATGCTTTATTACTTTTGCGTGAGGCATGAGATTACCTAAAGTAATCAAGGATATGTTTTGTGGAATGATTAAAGATAACCAGGTGTTTGCTTATGCCATGATTATACATAAAACATAGTTGAAAAGCATGTTATGAAGGTTTGGTGATTAAAAATGTGATAACTTATTATGTGTGATGTTCCAGGGATCCAAAATGGTATTTGTGGATCAAGGACGTCAAGAAGTATATGTGTATAAAATTTCACGTTAATCGGACTCCGTTTGGGTGGTCAAACGGGCGTTGACCGCCATGTCAACTGCCATACCCGACCGGGTATTGACACATACCCGACCGGGTATTTGCTGAAGAATTGCCCCAGGGGGGCTACTGCCTCCTATACCCGATCAAGTATGGGTAGATACTCGATCGAGTATACATTGAAAATTAGCTTTGTGGGCTACTGTCTCCTGTACTCGACCGAGTATGGGTAGATACTCGATCGAGTATTGGTTTATGCTCAAAACGGGCAGTTTTGAGTAGGTTAACGTGGGCCGTTCAGGTGGGACCCGCCCACGTTGGTTCCTAAGGATTTTTATATGACTATAGGGCTAGGCATTTTCCATAGTTAAAGGAATGAAAGTTTATCCATATCCAGGTTAGGATTTGGTAGAGGATAGACTGGGGATCGAGTACCCTTGGACGGTAAATGATCCAGAATACTCCAGGTGGGGTCGAGTACCCTTGGACGGTAAATGATCCAGAATACTCCAGGTGGGGTCGAGTACCCTTGGACGGTAAATGATCTAGAATACTCCAAGTGGGGCCGAGTACCCTTGGACGGTAAATGATCCTAAATACTCCAGGTTGGGTTGAGTGCCTTGGACGGTAAATGATCCTAAATACTCCAGGTTGGGTTGAGTGCCTTAGACGGTAAATGATCCTAAAACACTCGGTAGTATGAATCGAAGGTAGACTATAGCTTGTGAGCTAGGCAACCGGGAAAGGAGCGAGAAAAGTCAGGTAGAACTTTATCTCTAAAAGACTCTTTAAATGAAATGACCTATGGGTTGAGTATTTTACAAATATATATACATTATGTATCATCGGGTGGATGAGTCACATATATATATATATATGTATCACCCTATTTTTGGGTCTCGTGTCTGAAACATTAGTTATTATTCATATAGCCTGTTTGTCACTAGTACTTCTATGGAGTACTGACCCCTCCGGGGGGCCTCACATTTTTCAGGTTAAGGCTAGAGTCCTACTACCTGCACCTTTGCCTAGGG